GGGGGCGGGGTGCGCTTCAACTCGCCTAGGACACCAAAACGGCTAGAGCCAGCACTGCGTCTTTAGACTAAAAACAACCAGCTGAAAGCCTCCTTTTCCTCAGAACAACTGAAAGCAGCGAGAAGAGACTTGGACGCTGAGTGGGATCTATTCATGTGCCGAACAACTCAAAACAACCTGTTTTGATCCCTGAATAGCTTCAAAGAAACTTTTATCTTGACCACAGGGATGCAGCGCTGCCAACACCACAAAGACATCTGTGCTAAATCAACAAAACGGGACAAAAAAAATGACAACAGCGCAAAAAGAAACACTTGTACACAAATAAACCACACCATTCATCAAGTCTTTAGACACTTATTCTCTTTTATTTTGTTTTAGCCTTCATGTTCTCACTGAAACAACTTTTTTTTTTGTTCTGGATAGTTGAGCTGTTTGAAGAAAAGTTGTTCCTGCTGAGTATTTGTGCGACTTATTCAAAAATCTCACAGTGAACTGGCTGGACTATTAAAACAGCAAATGTACTGCATGATTACTGCAGAGTAAACGATTTTATTTTGTAAAAAAAAAAAGAAAGAAAGAAAGAAAAGAAAAGTTAAATATAATAGTCATTTACAAGCAAAATAATCCAACATCAGTTATTTTATTTTACAGCAACTAAAAAAGGAAGTTGCTTTTAAAGTCCAAATTTTCCCCACCAGACAACAAGCAGCTGGATACGTCTGATAGTCACATTTTGGCAGAGCTGCAGGGCCGGTCTGCAGATGTTTCATTTAAATCCACCCACTGACTGGTTCATACTGTCAGGGTGGAAACGCTTGAAGAGCAAACCCCAGCAGTGGCTGTGACCCCGACACCGAACTCAATAAAACTGGTACCAGTCTCAGTAGGTCTCTCAGAGGGATGCCCAGCTGGCTGCTTCGCAGTAACAAATCCCCAAATGAGCTGCAGCCTGAATGGAAACATGACAGAACAGTCACTCTTAATCAATCCACTACAATATAACTTCTTAGGACTATTAACATAACAACTTACTCCAAATGAAATACAAATGTACATATTTTGTCAGTTGGGATTAGATAAATTCTTAAAACGAATATTTTCCAGCAGCTACAGGCTAAAACAAAATTGTTCCAATATTTCTGTCGTATAAAAGTAAACACTTAGAAATGTAACGTGATTTTATCTTACCCTCCAGCTGTGTTTGTGTGTTTTTGAGGCAGGGGATGGAGCGGTACACCAGAAAGCAGGCCAGCATCACAGAGCAACTATCTTTAGGCAGAACCTCCTTTTTCATGTAAGAACCCAACACTGAGCTGTTTTCTAGAGAACAAAAAAATAAATAAAACAAAACAATGGTGAAAAGATGATCGCTACCTGTTGTACTGTTGCAAGTTTTAAACACCTCCATGACTGTTGTGTCTCTGACCAATTTTTTTCCAAGTCTTGGACTACATAGCTAGTTGCATTATTAAACATGGTTTTAGCTAAATAGTGAGCAGCATGCTTCAAAATGACGTTACATACACAACAATCAGACAGGGTGCACAAAACTAGAGCTTATGAAAAGGTCATAATCAGTGTTTGTTCTCTCTAAACTGTAGGAACTACAAATGTCTCTTTTTCCACAGAGGACTTTACAAGGTGTAATCTGTTCAGAGCCAGTAATGAGGGTAGTTGATTACTTTGCAACAGTAAACAGATGTCTGAAGGTAAGGCTGGATGTTTAAGAGACCGACTCTGACGTAGGGAGTTGCAGCTTGAAACTCTGTGACAGCTGACTGAGGAGCAGGATGGAATTTGCATTCTAAATACCTCATCATTATTCTCTTAGGTGTGTAAAGTCTCAATGAATGCTTTAGTTATAACATTTCTGACATGGGAACTCAACTTTGCAACCGGGTCTTGAGGATGGAATGTCAGACACGTTCTCATACACAGATGGCTTTCATCGAGCTAAAACAAGTAATTATCAGCAAGTTAGTTCATTTGGGGCCACCCTACTTAGCAGGCACACATAGGTGTTTTACATAAAGCCGCATTTGTGTATTGTAGAGGATTTCTTTAGATTTTAAAAACAAAACAAAAAACCTTGTCACTGTAATCCACTGAATATTTTCCAAGAACTTCATCTTTGAGGAATGTAGCTTCAGGGGCATATTATTGCCTTTATTAAACAAAAAGTCTTTAATACATCGATTGACTTCTGAGAAAAGCATAAAAGAAGAAAACTAAAAATAACATCTCAACACACATTTCATCTATGGGAGAGTTCTAGTGAGCATGAACATTCCTGATGACTGAGGTTGTGTTAGTTGTGCGTCCCCCCCGACCGTCTCCCAGAACCAAGAGGCTTCAAGTAACGATGAAATGAAAGCAAGTTCGAAACGCTGACATGATCAAAATCTTGCCCAACTACTTCACCTGTTTCCCACGGTTCCTGGAGTGTGCTTATTTTTTTACATTTTATTTTGTGAGGGTGTGTTTGAGTGTGCTAGTTCAGCAGTGGAATGTGTGTTTGTGTGCATGAACAGTCTGTTTAACCTCTAAACGGTGACATTATTGTGCTATGCCCTGCACAATAAAACAAGCTGAAACACATCCAGGAAGTGACAATGCTGCTCCTGGAAGTCACAGGTAATGTTCTGTTACGTGCTGTCAGGTAAAAATTAAACACATTTTTTCCACTAAGGTTGACCACTGGAATTACCCATGCAGTTTTTATACTCGGCTTGTCACTGAAACAAGTTGTTTCTTTGGAAGAATCTGTGCAACATTTAATTTTGCTCAGCTGACAGTTGGCACATGAAGTCCTGCTCACTCTGACTCCCATATAAGTCACCAAGCAGCCTTTCAGTGTAAATAATGTCAGCTGTGAAAGCTTCTCACACATCCTGTTGTAAAAGGTTTTTACAGTAGGTACTAATTTCAGAGTTTGTGCTGTTCGATCATCACCTCTGCAGTAACTTGGTATAGATCAGGGATGGGCAGCTTAAATGTCAGAGGGGGTCACAATTTTATGTTGACAGTACCAGAGGGCCACATAGTGATGAACACTTATCCAAATGTAGTGAAACTCCCATTTTAAAAGCGTGGGCTGAGTGGTAGGCACGAGGCTGGACTCTCTAACAACATGACAGAAACTCCTGGCTATTATGAACAATGACAACCACCCTCTGCACACTGTCAGCAGCAGCCAGGAAAACAAGTTCAGTGGGAGACTGCTTCTTCTGAGGTGCAGAACTAATAGACTGAGGAACTCCTTTGATCCTCGTGCAATTAAACAGTTCAACTTTTCACTGGAGGATGAGAGGAGGGCCAACAGGAGTACAAGAGAAACAGTGGGACAACAGAATTGGGTTATTACCTGATGTTTAACTAAGAGCGCTGTGTGGGAAAAGGAAATTACAATTTCCCTGAGGGAAAATCCCTAAGGGATTAATAAAGTATCTATCTATCTATCTATCTATCTATCTATCTATCTATCTATCTATCTATCTACCTATCTATCTATCTATAAATAAACTGAGCGAGATAGAGACGTTTATTAAAACAACAGTGCAGAAACTTGACATATTTCATGTTCAAACACATTTATAACAGGTGTACTCTTGTTTAATAAATATGAATACAAAATGTTGGAAGCTAACAAAAATACCAACAATTAGTGCAATGGTATAAGATGCATTTAGTTGCGGAAATGGTAAAAAGTTGCTGTTTATGTTTTTATGACTTCTGTATACTTATCGTATTAATGGTGTCATACAGTAAAATAAAATTGGGAGCTGGGGCTCATTGGTGGGCTAGATGGAAGTCACCCAGTTGTCCATCCCTGGTGTAGATGAAAGATGTTTTTAACAAATAAATAAACATTTGGTTAAACTGTGGTTTAATTGTGATTGGGCCAAACAGTATCAACCATTTTACTGATCAAGTTATCTACTTTTAAGTTCTCTTTACTATAAAAAATACCTTTTTAACTTGTGTTTATAATCGGTTAAAAGGTATATCGTGAAGAAACTCATCTTTCATCACTATGACTGGAAAGTGCCAGTAAATTGAAAACAGACAGCCTATATTTTATATCAAGAATGAAGGAAGTAATTCTTGGTTTGAAAGGGCTAACTAACAGATAACCCACCACTAAATTAACTGTTCTCCCTTTGACCTTCCTCACCTTTGAGCCAGTCATCCAGTGCTACATCCACCGCATTCTTCATTACAGGAAGAAACTCTGAGGTGAGTAGAGTGTCATGGCTGCTTGCAGGACCTCGCAGCATCCTGCTGTCCCACAACTCCACCACCAGACGTAGCTGCCACAAAGGAAATGTCTGCTGCAGGTCACCCCGTCGCAGAGCGCTGACTGCCTGGAAGAAAGAAGAAGACATGACTGACTTACCACCCATCTCATTTATTAGAATTTCTTCAAGTTTATGCATCTGGGAGTCTTGTTCATAAGTTACTGTAAGTCAGGATAGAGGAGGAAATTTCTGGAAATATTGGGGACTCATCAGCAGGAATAAGACCGTCGTTTCATTCTATCATGGTAGGCCGAAACGCAAAGCTCTTTTAATGGTCTGTTTACGCTCCAGCAATCCTCTATGGTCATGAGTAGGGCTGCAAAATACTGAGCAAACACTTGACTGCAATAATGTTGATGAATATTCCCATGACAGTATCAGAGGCGATAAATCCACATTTCTCACTACTGTAAACAGAGTTTACAAAATTCTAGTTTTTCTTCTAATTATGTTCTTCAGTTCAGCATTGGACATTCAGGATAGTGGAGATTGAGCCGAATGCTGAAATGTCAGATCTGCAGTTCATTGAGATGTTGAAATACTGATATTGCACACTTTATTACGATGACAATAACTTTTTGATATTGCACATCCCTAGTCATGTGTGCATCATGACCAAAAGAGCACGATATCTGATACAATAGGCTGACTTATCTCGACTTTAGACACGAGGTGAGAAACTATCTGAAGGGAGCTTGGAGCAGAACCACAGTAGACCCTGGGATTCCCTCCTGAACCCGTTGCCTTTGTTCCCAAACACAGACACACATATTTTAAAGCTCAGCAGATAACATTGGAAGATGATCCTATATTGTTTGGCATGTTTCACACTAGCTGCAGCTCTCCCAGAAACCTTACACTACTGTAAAGAAACAACTTGGTCATGCTACATTCTTTAGTGCAATGACAACATATTCTTAAATAGTGGACCTGCACGAAAGACCAAAACAAAAACAAGAAACCCATTGACTAACATACAAACTTTGTGACTCTGAAAAATAAACCCTGTTTTTACACAATGTGCATGAAACAGGTTTTTTTTTAGTCCCAGGCATTTTGTTTAATCTTATTTATTTCATCTTCTCAGTGTGACTGGTTTACAAGAGAAGTATTACATTATAATTATAAGTGTTCATTGGAAAAACAATAATTAGCTGTGCTCACACAGCTCAGTAAGAGTGTTTTGTGTTACCTGTTCAATGGCAATATATGTTGGCAGCATCTCTGAACACTCTTGCGTCACACATTCATACAGCATTGCTGAGAACAACATATGCGTGTCTTTTCTCTGTCAAAACACAACATAAGTGGGATCAGTTTCTTGGTGAAACACAATATACAAGTTTAAGTTTCTGTCCTTGTTTGATACCGACAAAGTTATTGTGTCACAATTTTTGTATTTCATCTAATAAAGCTAGTTTAAAGAAAAAGTTGAACTGAGAAAAACAAAAAGTTCAAATTGCTGAAGTAATGTTACATTATTGTTGTTTTCTGCAAATTTAAACTACTGGTTTCCACAGTTAAACAAGATTTACCTAATTTTGTAACCAAGTAGCCTCTTTACTCAGACAATAGAAGTCAGGTGAATAACAAGAAGGATAAAAAGATAAACTTTATTATGGGTTTTAATTATTTACAATTACACAATATGTAGTCTTTTCTGTACATATTAACATGATTTGTTGTAAAAAAAAAAAAAGTGCTATATCCTAAACAACTAATATTCCATAAAAGCAAGCTCATGTTTCCATAAAATGCTGGAGCTGTTTATACTTTGTACATGACCCGTCCTTCTAACCTTGTGATCCTGTGGCTTCCTTCTATTCCCACCATGGGATTAGCATTTATAGATTTCAATTAAAGAACTCGTCAGAGCATGTATGTTTGCATGTGTATATTAGGCTACTAAAGTTTTGAACCAAAGATGAAATTAACCGCATTAACATTTTTCAGTTGTTTTAAGTTAATTAAATCTAATTACCACATTTTGTTGTATATTGTACTTAATATTTGCTGATTACAGACACATTTAGTACATCTTGGAATGTAGGCATTAAACTAAACTATATTTTTTTTAAAATAAAAACTACTCAAAATATAACCTAAATCAGAGTACATAATATTATCATGAGTGCAGAATGAACATAGTTAATTAAGCTTAACTTAGCTTTCAAAAAGACAAAGCATGGCTGTTTTTCAGACAGTCACATAGTGGTATAACCATACAATAATATGTCTCATTCGTTTTTATATTTTTTGGATTTTTTTAAATATTCAATCAAAATGGTAAAACCAGGAATTCTCCCAAAGACACAAATAATCCTTCCTGTAAAACTCCCATGTAAAAAAAAAAATAATAATAATTCCTTGACAACAATTCCCCCCTCCAAACAAAACATGGTGTATGGGTAAACTTTGTTATATACGTAACATTAAAAGCTTTAATGTCACAAGCAGCTTATGTTTATAATAAATATTCAGAGAGAGAAGAAAAAAAAAAGAAAACCAGTTTCTTGTAATCCACCATCCCACTCATATCTCTTAAATTGTAATTATGAATATTTTTTAAATACGTTAAAAGACTAAACACAAACGACAGGAGTGAATTCAATCTATCTCCAGTTATTTCAGTTCATGTTGGTCTGTTTTTAGATAATAAATACAGACTTTCAGTACAACTTTGATCTCATCTTCAGAAATACTTAGGTGACTACAGTTGGGAAGTATGTTGTTGGTGGACCGGAAGCAGAGTACACATTGTAAATTACAGACCTTGTGAGCTACTTTGTGGCCTGCTGTGGGAAAAATAACCTCATCTCAAGAATTAGCAATACAAAAAGATGATTGTAGGTTTTAGAAGTGGGAAAAACTTTTTTATTTTTTACACCCTTAAAGAAAAGGAGGTGAAGACACGCAAGGGATCATCTGAGCAATGAACTGGACAAAAAATGTAAACAAAAATTCTGTTTACAAGAAAGAACAGAGTAGATTCCACTCTTTAGTATATTTGAGTTAATAATAGTTAGATGTTGCAAATCTACTACAAGCTTGTGGCAGAGAGGGCAGTATTCTTTGAACAAACCTGTTGCTGGTTCAAATAAACTAAACTAAGAGATAAAATCAAGGTTTCTGCAGCTATGCTCTAAAACATGGATTTATTTGCTCAAAATTTACTTTTAACTATATTTTTATTCAATGCTAAAATATTAAATTAAGTGTTATATGTTTAAGTCTAACAGCACTTGACTGTTACCAGACTCAGGCTCTTTGATGTCCACCCAGAACAGTAATGGAAATGCAATTATACAACCCTCAGAGTGAAGCCACACTTCCAGTAATTTCTGACTGAAGAGTAAAACTCACGTGTTTCATTGCTTCAGAGGTCTTACAAAAGAACTCTGCAAAGGAGATGAGGGCAGGCTCTGAGGTGAAAGAAGAGATGTCTTCAGGCTGCAAAAAAAACAAAATGTATTTAGATGAAATCGGCTCATAAAGTGGTACAGAAAAATGTCTGAACTGTGTAAAAAATAAATACTTTTAGGCAGGACAGAATTTGAAGAAAGCCACAGAAAGAAACAAAGAATAAAAATGTAGAGGTAACAAGCTAAACCAGGGGCGGTTCTAGTGGTGGGGCCACAGGGGCACTGGCCCCTGCTCCTGTCACTCATCTGGGGTCGGATTGATAAAACTGGCGTACGCACAATTTGAGCCCAGAAACTTGCGTACGCCACTTTTTACGCCAAGGTTGTGATTTATAAAATCCAAACTTGACGTGAAAATGTGCGGTGCCTCACGCCAGCTCTGACCCATGTGTACGCTCATTTTGGAGACGTGAAACTGCGACACAGATGGTGAAGTGAGGAATTAGAGCCACACTGTGTAATGATCACTGTCAGAGATTTAATTTACCTTCATCAGACTTAGATTTTTATTCATCTTTATCATCAGCTTTATTAACAGTAATATTTATGCTTCTGCTGCTGAGCCATGAGGGCCTTTGAAAAAAAAAAACCTTAAATCTTAAATAAAAGTTCCTGTGCGCAAATCCCAGACAGCAAAAGCCATGCTTTGGATACACGCGCAGGGCGCATCACCTCGCCAGTGTTTGTCACGCGCGGGGGGCGTGTGCGTGTGTGTGTGTGTGTGCGTGCGCGCGCGGGGCGGGGGTGTCTGCCGCGGATAACAGAGCAGGCAGGAGGGGGAGAGGACGAGGAGAAGAGCAATGAACTTACTTCTAATTTTATCTGACTTATTTAATTTTATTTTTATTGTTTTTATCGTCCTGCAGGCTCTGATAGAAAATTAATGTGAAGCTGAGCAAAATGAGGGAAAATCTGTGTCAATTACAGACATTCTGTTCATGTGAGCAGCTGTCAGTCAGCACCTGTCATCCTCCAGACGCAGCGTCTGAACCAATCACTTTTGTTGACATTGATCAGCTGACAGATTTAAATACATCTTAACATTCATGAGGTACTTTACATTGACTGTTTATGGTTGAGTGTAGGTGTGTAGAGGGTAGAACCTGAGGTGGGACCTCGTGCGCAAACTCTGATGGTGCGTTCACACCGAACGCGATTTCAGCGTCAGGAGCAGCAGGTTTACATGCAAAGTCTATGGTGGAGGCGCTTCAAGCAACGTCGGGAAGTTCTGCGGCGCCTCAAGCGCGATTAGAGCAGCGCGATTTGGACGATTTGGACGATCTGAGCGTCGAACGCTCAGATCGTCCAAATCGTCCAAATCGCTGAAGTTGGGAAATCTGAACTTTTGCAGCTCGACGCGCAGCGTCAACCAATCAGAGAGACTCCACTGTGTGACGTAGCGACATATTTCCCGACGGGACAGTTTACTGAATGAGGTCCACTAACCTGAAACAGACGGAGCTCCTGCTCTTTAGCTAAAATGAGTGCTGCAGTCGTGTCCTGATCCGCAGCAATGCGTGACAGCGACTCATCAGACTGAAAAAAATAGTCCTGAAAGCAGCTCTTCTCTGAATTATCTGGTGAATTAATTATGAATTAATTATCTGATGAACGTGACACGTTCTGGCTGTCTGTAAATAAAGCAAAGCCACTTCCTCGTCCGACATTAAACAGAGCCAGACAGAGGAGGGAGGGGCGGGGCGGCTGTCGCCGTGCGGCGCTTCAACAACTGTCCTGCGTCTGACCTCAAAGTGCACAAGCTTCAGACTTCAGCGTTGGCTGCGATTTTGAAGCTGAAATCGCGTTCGGTGTGAACGCACCATGAGGTGCAGCTGTGATTTATAAAGGAAAGATGCGCAGAAACGTGCGTACGCACGGTTTTATAAATCTGAATTTTTTTTTGGTGTACGCCATTTCCGCCTTTTGGCCGTACGTTCACTTTTAGTATGGTTTCCACGCAATCCTTTATAAATGAGACCCCTGTTCTTTACCTGAGAGCAATGATGGTGGCTGCAGTTCCAAGCCCAAACGCTAGAAGCGCTAATGAGTTGAACAGTAAAGTCCAGCATGAATCTATCTTACAGAAGACTTGAACAATTTTGCAAAAGATATCTTTCAACTGGCAAACAATGGCTTCATTTTGTCACATGCTTTGAGAATATTTTATCCATGTACAGTAAAAATGCATGTAACATTGATAAGGAGAATTTAAGCTTTCTTAATAACATTACATTACGTTACAATTGTTAGAATGTATGTGACCAGTTAAATTTTTACACCTCACTAAATCCGAGGATTTATGTGCAAGGATGTTGAACAAATGCTTGGCCCCTCTATGAATACTGTGGCCCCTTGATGGCCCTTTACTCAGAAAAATCCTAGATCTGCCACTGGGCTAAACAGAAGGGAACTGAGGACAAGGAAATTCAACATTGTGTATTTTCATCCCTTCAGGTCCTGCAGGTGTATTGACAATACACCGAGGCCATCAGGAAACCAGCAATAGTTTGTCAGCCTGCAGAACCTGCAGCGACAACCTGCCAAGGCTGCGCAAAACCTTTCAGTTCATTTCCAAACACTTCCCGTCCTCTGGAAGGGTGGATCTGTTCATTGCCATTGATTATTTTAAAAGCAAAACAAAACATTTTAAGTTAGAAAAATAAACTGATTGGATTCTAAGAGTGTGTACCTTGAAGGCTGTGGCTCCAGAGTTTCTGTGGTTGACGGTTGTGGTCAGCAGACTCTTCCAACCCTGAGGGTCATCTTTGTAGGGGAGCTGACCAGCCCGTAGTTTTACATACAACACACCATCTCTAGACAGGATAGACCTGAAATAGGCATAAACATAAATATTTTAGAGCACCCCTAAAGAGAAGGCAGAGAAAGCTCATTTCCTCATTTACTTCAAATGCTGTGTTTCTTTGCTGAGATCCAAAGTCAGCTCCCAGTAACGTGGCCCCTTCACCTTCACCTGCAATTAAGATTTGAAAACAAATTTAGAAACAGAGCATGTTAATACTTCTTTTCCCCTTTAGCTTTGAGCACCACAATGCATAGATTCTGCTATTATGGAAGCTGCAGTTTCTACTCCAGCTGTACCTGTTTGAGAAGATGCAGCTCAGGAAGGAGAGTGGGAGCCATCAGTTCTACTGTTGTCTCTTTATACCACGTGGTTTCCTGAAATACAAGGAGCATGTATCACTGGACAATATATATTATATTGATCACAAATGAATAAACAGATAAATAGATGCACATCAACTGAGTGGTAGAATAATGTAATCTTGTTCAGTAAAGCATTAATTTATTATTACATAAAATTAAGGTCTACAAAACTAAACTTGGTCAACTTGTACTGATATTTAAAATATTTAGCTCCTATTACATTTGTACTAATACTAGTGTTTTAAAAGTTCTTCAGATATTGGTTGCTTTGGATAAGTGTTTATTAAATGATCAAATAGATATAGATATAGAACAAGCAAAACCAAAAAAGTCACCACTTTCTTTGTATTTCTCCATTTTGTTTCGGAAAAAGAAATGCGACTGAAATGCTTAAAAAACTTCCAGACAAGTTCCCCCAGTAAAGGTCATTACAACATGTGCATGTACAGTATTATATTATAAATTTTACCAACAATATGGGAAACTATGTCAGAAAAAGAACAATGTTAACTTATTAAATGACGTATCAAATTTGCTGCGACAATCACAAAGAGACCAATAAAAAAAAAATAAAAATAAAAAAAAAACAAAGAGACCAATAATAAACTGACATCAAAATACAATGGGTTCTTTTTTGACATTTTCAATGTGCGATCACTGGAAATTTTTTTTAAACAATTCCTTTAAAAAGATCCTAAAGGGGAAATTAATATCATTCAGTTCCTCATATTTAAAAGTATAACTGGAGAGAATGTCAGAACTTTGAAGAAATAAGAAGTTTTTCTTCCTAATTGTAACCTAAAGAAACTCTTAGTTTCATTTAGTTTAGATTTTCTTTTCTCTTGTGTACCCAAACTCAATTTGATAGTTTGTCCAATAAAATCAGCATGAAAGCAAAAGAATAAAAGTATTTTTTTCCTCTTCTGATGCAAAATCCTAAATGAGGCATTAATATAATTGCCTGTGTGTGTGCAAATACCTGTCTGTTAGCAAAACATCATGAGCCACTGGATGAATTTTAATTCAATTGTCAGAAAGTAATCACATCTTCTACAACCAATTGGTCAGAAAACATAAAAACGGATAAACCAGGGATGCGCAACTAGCAGCCCATGGGCCACATCTAGCCCATGGGTGACCTCCGTTCAGCCCGGTGATGGCAATGTGCATACCTTCAAAAATTATAGTTTTTAATTTCTGTTTATGGTCTCTACATCTGCGACGTGAACAAACCTTATAGGTGACCTCCAGGAGGGAATAGCAAGGTTTAAGACTGTCCACATCCACAGGAACCAGAAGCCGTGGCTCTGCAGCCAGCACTGCAAGGTGCCGCAGGGCCTGCAAGTGATAGCTGCACCAAAACCACCATCCCCGTTTTCATCAACAAATGAAATATATAAAAAACACAATTACAGTTAAAAAACACTGTTAATGTTCTGAACCTTTGGCATCTTTAAGCAACTAAATATTTAAAATAATATTAACCATCGCTGTCAGCATAATCAAACATTTTAAAAGAAGATGAGGACTATGATTGATTGTTTTTACAACAATGAAAATCACAAGATGCTTTTTCCCTTTTTATAAATATTCGCACAGTGATACATTTTGTTATTAGGTAAACTTAACATACAAACATGCTATGTTTCTCTACATATCAGTCCTAAATCTAACAATTATACCAGACTTCTGTATGATTGTGTATGCATGGGTGTTTTTCTTACCGATTGTCAGTGCTGTGAGCAGGGAAGTGAGGATACAGGGCACAGAGCAAAGCAGCAATGGCTGAATTGGAAGTGCTGAGAGTGTACCTAAATAAGCAAAAACATTAAAAACTAAAAATGTGTGCTCATAATCAGATACACATTTGTGAACCTTGAGGGTTACAACAAGTAAAGCAAACCTTGCATTAAAATTATTGCTATTCAGTTCCAGCTCTGTTAAAATTGGGAACAGAAGACATGACGACAACTAAACATACAGCATTTGGAAAAAATCCCTACTGCAACTTCAAAACAGGATTAAAAAAAAACACCTGCAGTTAACTGATTAAACAGCATTTATGGCAACTTGTGTCATGCTTCAATGTATTTAAGAGAACTTCATTATTTTCCCACAGATTCCAACTAGTTTTATTGTGTGGTTGACAAAATAAAGTCAACTTGGAGATTCAGTTATAACTATCCTGTTGGCAATGAGATGCAAATTTGAAAATATTTTAGTTGAAAAGGTAAACTAAGCAGGATATTCAAACTCGATGGTGATTTTCTATTTCTTGTACTTTCTGAACACCAGTTTACTTTGTTTACTTACTTGTTTTATTGCTGCACCAATGACAGAAAAGGACACTAAAGGATGATTTGTGATTAATTGGTTCTTATAAGAAATGTTGCCTAGGAACATTTCTGCTGAAAGATGAACTTCCAGACAGTGTAGCAAAACTTCCAAACCTTTACTTAACTTTTTTAACCAACTGGAAAACTACGCAAAGTTCTACTTAATAAATCTTTGTAGGGAAGTCTAACTAAATTAGGTAGTATTTACAGTCCAGCAGTAAAGTGTCATGAGTAAAAAGCATGCAATTGGGATGGATAGCCTGGAGCTAATGTGTGAGGATGAAAATTAATCAGCTTTCACTTTAGCTTCCTTTTAAGTACTGAAAAAAGAGAAGAGAAATCAACTAAGCAAACAGAAAAAAAGGAGGAGGAAGTGTGAGGAAAGGAACAACTCAGAAGAAAAGCATTTGGTCAACTGAGGTGAAAACATGAATGAGGAAAATAAAATGACAGCAATGAAATGGTAACAGTGAAATGAGTAGAAAGCTAATTTGAATAGGAAATGCAAACCAGTGAGAAACTGAATGACAGACAAGTAGAGAGAGCGAGAGAAAAAAAAGAGTTATCATGACATGAACTTGCTTTGCAAAATGATTGAGAACCTCTGTAAACGCAGAATAAACCATTCACAATAAAACACCGTTTTGTGTGTGACATTCACTGCACGAGAAGATTTAGACCTTTGGCTGCAGAGTTGAAATTATAAAGAAATGAAACCAAAAGGTCACTATCTAACGAGGGCGTGGAAGCTGTTTTGAAACCAGTTTGTGATCAGTAGTTTGAGGAACCTGGTTTGGGTGTGTTTGTGTACAAATGTCATTCAACATGTTCAACAACACTGAAAGCAGGCTTATGTGTATTTGTTCTGCAGACACTAACAATGTGGTTGTATGTGCGATATTTGATCCTTCAAAAAATAAAAATAAAAAAGCAGTAGCCTCAAATTTAGTTGGTGTTTGTACTTTTTGATGCACGTGTGCTGTTTTGTCATACACCAATTCAGGCATCAAGTTACAAGATACGTGAAATATAATTAGGATTGACCTCTAAAAAAGGATTTTTTTTAATGATGCAAAAGGTATTTTTATGTGCAGTTTTGCAAAAATCTTGAGCTTGAAACAAATTAGATAAATTCCATGGAACAGCTAAATCCTCTGTGTTTAGAGCAATGAAACCTTAAAGAACGCTGTAGGAGTTTAAACATAATAATCATGACAGTAGATCTCTAAAATGAGGGACAGAAACTAGTCAAACATCTGGTTTTCTGAGTATGGTTGCTGTTAGGTCATGGGATCTGGGTATTTTATTTTGGGACAACTTCAAAGTTTTATGCTGGAAGAAAAATAAAGTTGTTTGGGCTGAAACCTATGAAAATAAATATATTTTGGGCATCAATAAATAAATAAAATTAAATTAAAAAAAGAATTACAGTATCCAGATGTTACAGAAAACTCAAAACCATTTACTTGTTTTTCCCCCTTTACATCTATGCATCTATCCTTAAATTGTGCTGTATTAAATACAGAAATATGTGCTGCAGACAAGACAGCATTAAGAAGTACCCTGTTAGGTTTTACATTTATGCAGTAATGACAAAAAAAAAAGAAAAAAAAAACCCACACACACAAAATTTGTGACAGAACCAAGAAAACACATCAATAAAAAATGTCAAAATGAACTTCATTTCCCATTTTTATTTTTTTGAAACTGACTTTCTTTTCAGTATTTTGACTTTAATATTAGTGTTTAAACTGATGAAGGGGAAACAGCTCATTCAACTCAAATATCTGTACATGTGAGTGTGATCTTTTTACCTGCCGCCTCCAAGAAAGAGCAGCCCCAGAGCCATGTGATGAGCCATGTGAAAGCCGTAGTTCATCTCACCACCAGTTCTCTTGTGAAAGAAGCGACAGAGCTGCAGAACCTTCAGGTTTCCTGTGCCAGCCATGACCATGGACATAGCCAGCAGAATCATTGACAGACCTGTTTGCAGGTTGTAATAACCCATCTGTTGGAAGGAACAGCACATGACAGAAACGGGGAGGAATAACTGCATAAGTGAAAAATTGTTTACATACATATATTGTATTTGAAAAACCAGTAAAGAATAAATACAATAAAAAAATCAAAAGACTCACAGCACCAACAGCAGCTGTACCAGCAAATGACATCATCTTCATGAAGGTTTTGGCAAACTCATAGAGGCAGTCGAAGGCGTCAGAATTGGCAGAGCCGGCAAAGCGTAAACCTAACGCCATACAGGCTCCGGCTGTGATGTAGTCTTGGGCTTGGCTGTGAGGAACAAATTTTACAATCAGTCGACTCGGAAGGAGACAGGAGGACGTCACCACAAATATAGCAAATGAAAAGTTCTTAATGACTTTATGTTTGTCATATTTTGCTTTTAAAAGGGTCTTGAAATCTTTTTAAGTGGTCTTGATAAACGTTTCTCCAGAATTTTTTAATGTCTTTCATAGCTTTACATTTTTGGGTTGTTTTTTTAGGTTGCATTGGACCCCAACTGACATTTGTGGAATGTGTGCTTAATAAATTAGGAAAATAGACAAAGAAGCTGCTTAATGCCATACATATATAATTTTTTTCTGGGGTATGATCAGAACCTGAAGGTCACATCTTTAAGAAATAGGGAAAAAATTCCATCAAAGACCTGACACAGGACCTGAGAGGTGAATCAATTTTCCATTTATATTGTAAGCCACGTTTTCAGATAATAAACCACTTAGGGACTCACCATTTTAGTACTAAAATAGTAATACAGTACGTCTGTCAAACTGCATATTCTTGTATCTTCACTTAAAAAAAGTTTGAACAATTTGTGTTTTTGTGATAAACTGCCTCTAAGAAAATGCTAAAATAAATCCAATTATAAAATGATTCTTTGGTAATTTATCTATTATGTATAAAAACAACAGCAGCTCATCACTTGAGTTTAAGAACCTTTTTATGCTTGAATGATTTTTAGGTCAAAGTTTTGTGAGTGGCTTGTACATAAATACCCTCCTCTGAAAATGATCCAGCACTAAAATTTATTTAAAAAAAAATACAGAATGCAACGTCCAAAGAAAAAATTGAAAGACACTAAAACCACTTCAGGAACTAATGATCAAGATTACTTCAAATTATTACTATTATTTACAAAGAATGGGTTCACTGGAAGCAACATATGTAGAAATGAGGGATGACTTAAGACTTTTATATGGCACTTGTATCTAACAGTAAAACTCACGCCATTGTCTCCATATTAATGTCTTCTGAGGGGTCAAAATTCCCCCTCATGATCTAAAATGAAAAAAAAAAAAAAAAAAACGATACAAAAATAAGTAAAGTCGTTTCACTATAATTTGTTTTAAAACTACTCTTGTACAAACAACACATGGAACAGAAAGATTACACATTACAACGTCACAAAGTCATATGTGAACACTGAGTAATGCTGTGTCTCTGTGTATTTTCTCACCTGGGGCACGTTACTCTTGACCCACTCTGTGTTAGGGAGGATTTCATCCCACATGATAATACACCGTGCAAGAGTCTGGTAGTGAGGCAAGAAGAGGAGACGCAAGTATAGCAGATTAAGGAAAGGTGGGAAAAGACTCATGTCACTCACACACCCAGAAACACACAGCTCGCGTCACACTAACCCTCAGCAGCAGAAACTCTGGCTTAATGAAGTCCAGCAGAAACCAAGTGTCTGGAGGTTTCAGCCAATCAGCAATCGACCTAATGGACAGGAACAGGATGAGGAAAGGGAGTGTTAATGCCTTCCCACAACACCCTCTCCACCAAGAGGCAAAAAACATCAGATGAGCATTGAAGAAATTAGGAACCTCTTGACCAACAGCTGGGAGGTGGAGGAGTTTTGTTCTTCTGTAGTGCAGGTTATGATGCTCTGATGTTCACAGAATTCAGCAAACATGAGCCAGGATTTGGAAACTTGGCTTTGTTTGTATTTGCATTTTGGCTTCGTATGATGAGTCATTTCAAATCAAGATTAATAGAATATGATGTACAGCACTGATGCATTGCCTGTTCATTGTTTTGTTATAAATAGGTAAGCAGTGATTGCAATTTTTTTGCGAAGAGGGATTATGTATCATACCTAATTTTTACAGTATTCATGCTAAAAAAAACTCGGTATAAGACGCAGTTCTTCTTCCTTGCTTGCATCTCTGCAAAACTCGTTTTCTTCAGATGCAAAAAAAAATGTTATGGCAATACCGATATCCAATGCAGAGAAGACCAAAAAGACAAGGAGGCAAAACAAACTAATTAGAAGAGCTTTAGTCGTCCTGCAACACACTGCTGAACATCATGAATTTTGGGTGGAGTTACAATAGAAAATCTCATCTACAACTGAAGCATGGAAATTTGTCCAAAAGGTTTCAAATAACCAAAGGTAAAAACTAAAAAATTAACACAAATGAACTTGATTATTTTTCCTAATTGATCAAGTCAACTGTTTCAGTTTTAGGGAATTATTTTTACACAACCACTCTACAGAGTATGGGGGAGTAGGCTCTTTCACAAAACACCTCTAGCTGGGAATTGTACACCTTCTGGGCACTTAGGTGTGATTTCTTTGTGGGAAAAGCAGCAAACGAAATCAAAGCAAACCCACCCCAGATTTTCCTTTGTGCTGTGAAACCGTCAACATGAAAAAGGTAAGACGGCTTGAATTTGTCAAGTTTTGAAAACGAAACCAGGAAGACATTTGACACGTCTAATGTGTTGCACTTACAGCCAATGAAGCTGATCTCTGTTCCACACCTTTTTGTTTGTTTGTTTGTTTGTTTGTTTGTTTGTTTGTTTGTTTGTTTGTTTGTTTGTTTCATAATGCTTGCTTCACTTCTAACAGCTCACATCAGTTTAAGACATCCATCTGTAATTTTTGAATGGCAAGAGGCGGCATAACAAATGACTGGTCTTAGAGGCTATTTCTCTGAAATATTTTATCAAAGAGCCTTTTATACCAAATATAAGCACAAATGAACTGAATGTCCTTTAAATACATTTAATTCATGAGTAAAAAATGAGTCAGTTTAAGAAGTTTCTGGTCTTTTCTCACCTGTTGTTGGTCTTGAGGTAAATCATGGCGAGGGCCAGTGTGGCCCCTGGGCAAGTAACATCCACATTTATCGTATCCCCCTCCTGAAATGATTATGGATTCATTAGCTAATCAAAGTTACAAGGTATCTTAAGGTATATTAGTTATTTCAAATCATTTGTGAAATTTTGTGTGATATGATGACACTGTTAGTGACAATCCACTTCAACAATTTTTTAATATTTCTGTGACGTTTCTCAACTATTCCCAAGTTTTCACCATGGAGGTGTCCTTCATGTCAGGTGCTCATAGTAAACATGGCAGTGAACTTCACACAACAACGAAACAATGAAAATAAGTAACTTTTTTTTAAAGTTCTCCATCCGTTTATCCGTAGTTGGGTCATCGCGGAGGCAACAGGTCCAGGAGAGAAACCAAGATATCCCTCTCCCCAGCTCATCCTGGAGGGACCCCGAGGCGTTTCCAGGCCAGAGAGGATACATACCCGATAATCCCTCCAGTGAGGCCTCCTACCAGTGGGACATACCTGGAACACCTCTAAAAGGAGGCGTCCAGGAGGCATCCTAATCAGATGCCCAAACCACCTCAGTTGACTCCTTTAGATGTGGAGGAGCAGCGGCTTTACTCCGAGCTCTTCCAGGTGAAGGAGCTCCTCACCCACTCTCTAAGGCTGAGTCCAGCCACCCAACGAAGGAAGCTCATTTCGGCCGCTTGTATCCGGGATCTTGTTCTTTCGGTCATGATCCATGCATCCTGACCATAGGTGAGGGTTGGAATGAATATAGACCAGCAAATCAAGAGCTTTGTCTTTCGACTCAGCTCTTTCTTCACCATGGCCGACCGAAGCAACGTCCTCATTACTGACATCAATCCATCTCCCGCTCCATCCTACCATCACTTGCAAACAAGACACCCAGATACTTCTGCTTCTCCACTTAAGGTTACAGTTAGGGATGTCCCGATCCAGATTTTTTTGGCTCCCGATACAATACAATTTTTTAATGATTAGTCTTTCCGATACCAATCCGATAGCTTTATATCTTTATTTCTTTCCAAGTGACTAGGTTGGTAGTATTAAAGCAAGCCCTGCTGTTCCCACCATGAGAAACTTCCTGTTTGCAGATTTTGCAAGATGCAGTTTCAGCATCAGTTTTCCATTGAACAGTGTTCCCACACTGTGGACATGGTTGCATACTTGTGTGCGTCTTGACTTCTTAACGGCAGTTGTAAAGCAAGATGATGCTGAAAGCTGTCGCAAAAAGTGGATCGGCCCAATCACATGACTAAATCCGATTCTACCCGATTTTAAATGATCATATCTGCCACCGATACTGAGTATCTGATAGGGACATCCCTAGTTACAGTTACATAAAATAAAAAGAGAGGGAAAAAATATATATATATATATTCAGAGTGAGAGAGAAAAACAGAGAAGGAGATTTTTCCTTCTACCTTGATTTGGTAGCTAGGGGACTTGTGTCTTTCCCGGCTGGCACCTGCTTGAGCTCTGCGATGTCCCCCAACCATATACTGGTACAACTGCTCTGGCACGTTAAGGTCTGTCATCCCAATCAGGTTGCTGCCATGCTGGAAGAAAACACACACATATAATTTATGCAATAATACAGAAAAATAAATACAATAAAATAAAATAAATTTATTATTATTATTATTATTATAATAGTCTGTGACTATGTATGTACCTTTGACAAAAAAATTCCAGAAAAACTCTTTAATTTTTTACGCTAATTTATCTTGCAATGAATTCACAAAGTACAACCGTTTTGCTAAACAATTAGTGTGAGAAACTACTGACTTACCCCAAGACAGACCATGCCAAGAGCAAGTCCAGCAGCCAGTGAATAGGACTCTCTGTCAGTACAGTACTCCATCTCTGGACCAGGAGGTCGACCTAAAAACAAAGAAATTGTATATGACTAAACTCTAGGATTATTATCATATATGATAAAATATCTAAAGACTCTTGAATCAAATTTGTATTTTTCTTTCAAACTGACCAAGAAAAGCAGGTTAGAAAAAAAGGACAATTAATTTGAGCTATTTCAAAGTGGTAATTTGACATTTTAAAGTGTCTGCTTCAGATTTTCTACACAGTAAAAGTTCACACACCTATCTCAGACAACAAGACTTCAGCATTGTGTCTGTGTCCAGTTCCCTGGTAAACCAGCCCGATACCAATTACAGCTGCAACCTGGAAGATAGAAGGTGGGATAACTCAGTACTTATGTATTTTTACAAGTATTTATAGTAATTTAACTGAAAGATCACAGAACATCCACGCATTAGTTTGAAGCCTCTAACCTGAACGTTGTGGGGCACGTCCAGCTCAGTGGAGGTGGGTGGGAGAAGGGCCGGGATGTGAATGCTGAGCAGGCGTGTAATTGACATGTCCATAGTGCCCAGTTTGGCAGAAGAAACACCCAGGAGGAGTCCAATGCTGGTCATCTCATGACCCTGACAGAGACCAGGACAGAGAGGAACTGTTAATGTTTTACACCTTTTTTTTAAATATTGACTGATTTTATTTATATGTAGACAATAATGTAAAATCCTTCTGAATTATTAAAGTTTATGAGTAATAAACACTAGGGGAGAAACAAATTACTTTCAGTGAAATTGGTTTTATACCTGAAAACATGATTCTGGTGGAGAAAAGCAATCAGCTTCCATGTTGGATAACTTTGACTGACAGTTTTCTGAAGCGTACATGCTATGAAAATACCAGCATGAAACAGGTCAATCCTAAACACAAACTTCTGAGCATGATACAGTTGTGGTCAAAAGTTTACATACACTTGTAAAGAAACATAATGTTATGGCTGTCTTGAGTTTTCAATAAGTTCTACAACTCTTATTTTTCTGTGATAGAGTGATCGGAACACATACATGTTTGTCACAAAAAACAGTCATAAAATTTGGTTCTTTCATAAATTTATTATGGGTCTGCTGAAAATGTCACCAAATCTGCTGGGTCAAAAATATACATAGGTACAGCAACAAAACTTGTCAATTTTGGTGATGTAGCGAGT